CAACCTGGGCATGTGCCCCGACAGGGAATTGAATCATGACCTGGTTCACAGATTGACGCTCAACCACTGAGCTACGCCGGCCGAGCTAATGTATACACTTAGAGTAAGAATGACTCATTCTGGTTACTGGTTGAGATTTCACGTTGGTTCATTAGAGACGCCTTGGGGTCTGGTATCCTTCCCGCTGTGATGACTGCATCTCGGGGGCAGACAGCTGGGAGGCTGATGGATAGTGACAGCTGCAGAAGGTCCTTTTGGGTGGACGCCATGTCTTTTCCCTGATCCCTGATGCCTGTTCAGGATCCCATGCCTTGCTCCAGAGCCGAAGCCCAGCCTCTCATTCTAGGGCAGTGATGGCGAACCTTTTGAGCTCGGCGTGTCAGCATTTTGAAAAACCCTAACTTAACTCTGGTGCCGTGTCACATATAGAAACTTTTTGATATTTGCAACCACAGTAAAACAAAGACTTATATTTTTGATATTTATTTTATATATTTAAATGCCATTTAACAACAAAAAAATCAACCAAAAAAATGAGTTCGAGTGTCCCCTCTGACACGTGTGTCATAGGTTCGCCATCACTGGGCTAGGGCATTCCCAGGTGCCTCGGGAGCACACTCAGTTCAGGGCCTGCCCCTGGTCAAGGTGCCCCCCCCTCGTCCCCTGACAGCCTCAGGCCCCAGCTGGCCCCTCCTGCAACCAGAACGCCTCCCCCGTGCTGCTCTACTGAGGCACATGCAGTGGTTAAGCAAATGGGCTCTGGCCTTGGAGAGAAGTGAGTTAGAATCCTGCTTCAGGCACTTTTATGTGACCTTAAGCAAAGTATTTAACCTCTCTAAGCCCCGGCTAACAACATTCACCCAATACTGATGTTTGACAAACACTCCCCTGTAACCAGGACCCAATTAAAGAAATCAGCCCTGGCCGGTTTGGCTCAGTGGATAGAGCGTCGGCCTGCAGACTGGAGGGTCCCAGGTTCGATTCCGGTCAAGGGCATGTACCTTGATTGCAGGCACATCCCCAGTAGAGGGCCCTCTCTCTTCCTCTCTGTAAAAAAAAAAAATCAATAAAATATATTTTTTTAAAAAGAAAGAAATCCAACAGCCGGCACCCAGCCACTGACCCACCACTTCTGGCCACAGATTTAGTTGATCTGTTTTTGAACGTTATGTAAATGCCAACATACAGCATTTCTATTTTCCCCTCCTCCTTCTCTTTCTGAGAGTCACCCAAGTCATAGCACTGGCAGTAATTCTTTCATTCTCTTGCGACTAGTAGAGCACTTGGGGCAGTTCCAGTTTGGGCTATTACCAAGACAGCTGCTAGGAACGTGCCAGATGTAGTCTTAAGCCGTAAAAAAATAAACAAGCTAAATCTCTCTTGAACTGGGGTGGAACGAAGTTCTAGACTTGGATGTTATAGTAGAGAATTATTTTTTATGCATTTTTTATTTTTATTTTTTTATTGCTTAAAGTATTACAAAGAGCATTACATATGTTTCCTTTTTTAGTAGAGAATTAAGGTGGCAGGATGGAAAAGGAGATAGGGTTTTAGACAAGACACACTCGTCATTGAATTCTGAACTCTTCACGTCCTAATAGTGTGACTTGGGTGGTTACTTGACCTTTTTGAGAGTCAATTTCTTCATTGGCAAATCATAATAAAAATATCTCCCTCCTTTGGCGGTAGCGACGGTCACCTGAGACAGTATCTGCAAAGCCCCTGGCTGCGTGCCTAGGGCACATAAAGGTGAGGCTGCACATGCCCTGGCCACGCTTTAGGGGCAGGAGGAGAGCAGGTTGAAAGGGAGGAACCTTTCCTCTCCTGGATGCATCTGCTCAGCGTATTTATTCACACCTATCTCCTGGAAATGTTTTTATTACAAAATTAACAAAAGGCAGAAATTTTTATATTTTCAAAATGTGTAACCAACTGAAGCAAATGCTTCTAACTGCATATCCAGTTGGTGGCACATCCACAGAGAGATGAAAACACAGCATTGACCCCACGCCCCTGGTGGGTGGACTCTAAGGACAAAAGTAGATAGATAGATAGATAGAGAGAGAGAGAGAGAATCATTATATTATACTAATATCTTAGGAATCAAGATTTTCAGCATAAAAGAGACAGGAGGCTAAACTTCAGAAAAGTTAAATAAAAATCCTCCAACCCAAGCATGTCAGACTCAAAGGCTAACTCGAGCCACACAAACGAGGCATGTGGCCCGCGGGCCGTGAGTTTGACATGCTTGCTCCAACCCATTACTGTGTACTGTTGTATGGTTGGCAGTAACTGTCCACTGAAAAGGCCAAGAAGTGCTGACACCTAATGGCAATGGGCGTCACTGGTGCCCAGGTTGCAAATGTCCTAATGTGAATAAAGTATAAATTCATGCTTTAGCACGTTTCTCTCCGCCTCTGCCCGCTGAGAGCGCCGAGCAGCGGTGGCACCCGCGGCTTCCTGATCCCCAATTATGACGCCCACAGAGGAAAACAGGGCTCTCTGGAGAAACGGTTGAGTCCAGGTCCACGACACAAAATGCACAAGATGTTCCAGGGGCCCCTTTTGTGTCAGAAAGTAAGGAAATTATTGCCCTGGCCGGTGAGGCTCCGTTGGCTGGGTGCTGTCCTGTGCACCAAAGGTTGCCGGTTCAATTCCCGGTCAGGGCACAGGCCCAGGTTTCAGGCTCGGTCCCTGATGGATGTTTCACTCTCACATTGATGTTTCTCTTTCTCCCTCTCCCTTCTCTCTAAAAATCAATTTTAAAAAAAATCAATCGGCAAAATCCAACGTGGAGGAAATTCAGTTTCCAATGTTTTTCCAATCCATAATCTTCTCAGAGGTTTATCTTTACTCTGATTTATAATTATGTCAGATTTATAATTATATTATTGTTGGGTTTACCCCCAACAATAAGGTTCAACCATTAGAATATGGATATTTGCAAAGAATATATGGCCCTGCTGTGGCTCAAAACGAGTATTCCGTTCTATTTTATTGGCTTTTCAAATATGCTCAGTTCATTACACAATGTTTAGTCTTTTTAAAAAATATATTTTTATTGATTTCAGAAAGGAAGAGGGAGAGATAGAAACATTGATGAGAGAGGACCATCGATTGGCTGCCTACTGCTCGCCCCTCACTGGGGATCGAGCCTGCAACCCAGGCATGGGTCCTGACTGGGAATCCAACCATAACCTCCTGGTTCATAGGTCGATGCTCAACCACTGAGCCACACCAGCCAGGACGCAACGTTTAGTCTTTAATACTGTGTAGAAGATAAGCACCATGCTCTCAATAAAGTATAAGCTTCTTTTTTAAACAATGAGATTCTAGTCATATTTTGCAATAAGATAGAATACAAAGCACTAAGCAAATACATTATTAATGAGCTAGGATTTCCTTATATTACTTACTGTAGGAGAGACTATGGTATAAGGTTAACTGAATAGTTTTAAAGCAGTTATGAATTTTTTTTTTATAAGGGAGAAAAGATTCCCAAACTGGTAAAATTCTGCAACATCTCAGAACTCTATGAACTATCTTAGGGCATGCTTGGAAGCAGGTGGGGCCATGCACGCACTCCCAGAAGCCATTAGAATGAGGTTCTGTCACAGGACACCTTTCTTTTCTTTTTTAATTGAATTCATTGCTTTGGCCGGTGTTTTTCAGTGGTTAGAGCATCAGCCTGTGCCCCGAAGGGCTGCAGGTTTGATTCCCCGTCAGGAGTTAAGGGCACGTATCTGGACTGCATGTTAGATCCCCAGTCCCTGTTGGGGGGCCTCCAGGAGGCAAACAATGTGTCTTTCACATCGATGTTTCTCTCTTTCCACTCTCTCTAAAATCAATGGAAAAAATATCCTTGGGTAAGGATTAACAAAAGATAAACTGGTTGGGTGACATTGGTTAATAAGATTACACATGTGTACGTTTCAGTGTGCAATCCTCTGACCCATCATCTATATATTGCATTGTGTGCTCATCACCCAAAGCCTAATCTCCTTCTGTCACCGTATCTCTTACTCCTTTTACCCTCTTCAACTTCCTCCCCTTCCCTTCCCTCTGGGAACCACCACACTAATGGTTTTCTTATCCCACAAGTGAAATCATATGGTCCCTGTCCTTTTCCATCTGACTTATTTTGCTTAGCATGATACTCTCAAGATCCACCCTTGCTGTCCTAAATGGTAGTATTTCATCTTTTCTTATGACTGAGCAGTATTCCATTGTGTGCATGTACCACATCTTCTTTGTCCAATCTTCCACTGAAGGACACTTGTTTCCATGTCTTGGTTACTATGAATAATGCTATAATGAACATAGGGGTGCACACATCTTTATAAATAAACTAGAGGCCTGGTGCACAAAATTCATGCACTCAGTGGGGGAAGAGGGGTCCCTCAACCCGCCCTTTGCCCTCTCGCAGTTTGGGAGCCCTTGGGGGATGTCTAACAGCTGAGGCCCACTGCCCCCGGGGAGCGTGCCTAAGCCATCAGTCGGACATCCGTAGTGCTTCCATGGAGGTGGGATAGGCTCCCGCCACAGCCGCTGCGCTCGCCATGGCTTCTGGCTGAGTGGCGCTCCCCCTGTGTGAGTGCACTGACCACCAGGGGGCAGCTCCTGTGTTGAGCGTCTGCCCCTTGGTAGTCAGTGTGTGTCATAGCAACCAGCCATTCCACCGTTCGGTTGATTTGCATATTGGCCTTTTATTATATAGGACTAGAGGCCTGGTGCATGAAATTCATGCACTGGGTAGGGGGGGCTCCCTCAGCCTGGTCCTCTCACAGTCCAGGAGCCCTGCGATCAATTGCCCCAAAGAGGTAGGCCCCGCCCACCCACTGCGGCCAGCTGGTTGGTGGCCTGGGCCTCCCTTTGCGGGGTGATCATGGTGCGATGGCCAGGCCCCCGACCAATTACATTTCACCTGCCTTGGCTGGCCTGGCGCCAGTGGGTGTCATAACATGGTCATCAGGATGGTCGTTCCATTTGGCCATTTGGTCGATTTGCATATTACACTTTTATTAGATAGGATACTACTACAAATTGGCTGTACTGATTTACATTCCCACCAGCAGTGTATGGGGGTTCCTTTTTCTCCACAACCTCTCCAACACCTGTTATGTATTGTCTTGTTGACAGTCATTCTAACAAGTATGAGGTGGTATTTATGTTTTGATTTTTATGTTCCTTATAGCTAATAAAGTTGAGCATTTCTTCATAAAACTGTTGCCCATTTGTTTGTCTTCTTTAAAAAAAGTGTCTGTTCAGGCCTTCTGCCCATCAGAAGAAAAAACAAAAGATTCCTCCTTGTCTAGTAGTAGCTGAGCAAATGAGAGACTGACATAAATCAGCCAATGAAAAGCTCGCTGTACTCTGAACTTTCAGTTTCCTCCAATGGACTCTGCTTACAGCAGCCCTTCCCAAGTCCATAGAAGAGCCTTCCTCTCGCTGTTTCTCTGGATTACTGTGCAGGCGCTTCTCCATCACACTGCAGCCGGAGCTGCAATTCCTTCTTGTTTCTGGGGAAAAACGTATTTTGCTGGAGAAATACCTGGCTATTTGTTTAAAGTCAACAACTCCATAAACAAAATTAACAAATAAGTGAGCTAGAAGACATGTTACAAATATAAGTGTTAAAAGTCATAACTGTAAAGAGCTGCTATAAACTAAGAAAAGTCACGGAGTCCAGCCAGCATGGTTCAGTGGTTGAGCATCAACCTATGAACCAGAAGGTCCCGGTTCAATGCTGGCTCAGTCCCCAGTGGGGGGCATGCAAGAGGCAGCCAATCAATGATTTGCTCTCATCATTGATATTTCTAGCGCTCACTCCCTCTCTGAAATAAAAATGTCATTTTACAAAATCACATACCCAACCAAATTTTTGAATATGTAAAAGCTATACAAAGTTAATGCTTAGCAAAGAATGACCAATAGACATTTGAAATAATACTCAACCCTGTAAGTAACCAGGAAAGCTTAAAGGCACTATTTTTCACCCATCAGGTAAGTATGACAACATGAAGCGTTTAAAAAAGGTTGTGTGAAAACAAGGCACTCTCATCCATTATTAATGGAGAAGGTAAATTGGTAGCATTTTTTGCAGGACAATTTAGCAGTACAGATTAAAATTCTTAATGTTCATACTCATTTGAATCAGGTCTTAGGGAAATCCTTGAACATGTGCACTAAGATATATACATAAAGATGCTCACTGAATTTTTTTTTGGGGGGGGGGGGGGAGGCTTATTGAAAAAATTGAAACTTTCTATGCCAGTTAGAAAGAAAACTAAGGATTGTTGAGCAGCCTTTAAAATGAATGAGTAAATCTATTGGCACTTAGAGGAAAAAATTTCCAAGATATAGTGTTGAATGGTAAAAAATAAATGGCTGATTGCAAATCCCATAGTGCAGCCATTTTGATATGTCTATCACATAGCTACGTGCATACGTTTGGATGGGGTCAGGTAGGACAGACTTTCGCTTCGGCCCTATATTCCAGTGTTTTAAGAAAAAAGCAGTTCAGAAAGAGACACTTCAAGCTATTAGTTGCGTTTACCCTAAAGAGGGGGAGAAAAGGGTGAAAGTGATTTTGACTTTTCACTCTATAAACTGTGAAAATGGAAAAACCAAACACACGATTATTCTGCAACTTTTGCGAAATTAAAGTTAACACGAAAGGTGACACGAGAATGCTTTCAGAAATACATGCCATGGACCTCAGCTGAGTTCACCCCGCAATCTGCAAAGTCACACACAGTCCCGCGGCTGGCAGGAGGGCGTTTTCCCCCGGTAGTTTTCCAGTCCATTTACAGCAGCGGTTCTCAACCTTCCTGGTGCCGCGACCCCTTCATACGGTTCCTCACGTTGTGGGGACCCCCAACCATTAAATTATTTCCGTTGCTACTGTGATGAACCGTCATGTAAATATCTGATATGCAGGATGCATTTTCATTGTTACAAATTGAACATCATGAAAGCAGAGCGATGAATCACAAAAACAATATGCAATTACAGATGTGTTTCCCGATGGGCTTAGGCGACCCCTGTGAAAGGGTCGTTGGACCCCCAGGTTGAGAACCGCTGACTGAGGGCCTCACTGGAAAGACGTGGAGAACCCCGCCCCCCCTCCCGCCCGCGACGGAGCATGGGGCACCCCCGCCAACACTGCCCGGCGGGGCCTCGTTTCTATTAGAGCCGGAGGTCATTCGCCCAACTTCCGCAAAGGGCAGTCATTTTAAAAAATAATGTCACCTGCCGCTCACAAGCTGCGTCTTCCGCGGGGGCTGCGGAAAGGCGCCGAGGCTGGGAAATGAGAGGCGTCCCCGCCGACCCCGCCCGGCGCCGCGTGACCGGGCGGCACCGTGACTGTGCGCAGCGCGGCTCCCCCGCCTCCCGGGCACTCGGACCCGCGGCCGTGGGGGGACAGAGGAACCCTGAAAGGCCGGCCTGACCCCGGCCTGCACGGGCCGCCACACGCAGCGCCTGGGCTTCACGGCAACCCGCGGCCGACACGACACGCGCCCGTCGCAGGCCTTTTCCTCTTAAACCTCCGCGCCGGGAGGGCGGCCGGCGCACGCTCAGTAACGAGCCGGCCCCTCCGTGTGGTCCCCGTCCGTCTCCCTCAGCGCCCCGGGCGGCGCCGCCTTAACGCCCCGAGGCGGGAGGGGAGCGGGGACGGGGCTGCACCCGCCGCCAGGGGAGCGGCTGGCGCGCGGGGCTCGGCGGGGCCGGAAGGACAAAGGACACGCGGGGCCGCGGGCCACGGCCGGTGCGAGCCCACTTCCGGGCGGGGGCCGCGCGCGGGACAAAGCGGCGGCGGCGAGCGGCTCCCCCCATCCCCCGCGGCGCGCGCCCGGCCCGAGCACGCGGAGCACGAGCGCGGGCGACGGTTGGAAATGGCGGTTGGGGCGGAAGGCGGGGGCTGGGGGGAGACGCGCGGTCTCGCGGTGCCGCCCGCGCCCCGCCGCAGCCCGGGTGCGGCGTCGCTTCCCGAGCCCGCCCCTCCCGCGGTGCCGGCCGGCAGGGCGGGGGAGCCCCTCTGGGAGAAGGGGTGGCCCGTTGGATGAACAAAGGAGCTGACCGGGGCCAGCGCCGCCACTGCAGAGCAGCAGACACGTTCCCTAAGATGGCGGCCGGCGCCGGGGGGCGGGGCTTTCCGCTGGCACCGCCCTCCGGGGGCGGGGCTTCCGCTCGCGCAGGCCCTGGGCGGGCGGGCGGGGGTGCAGGCGCCGACTCGTGCCCATGGCCGCGGCGCCGGAGCCCAAGGAGCCCGGGCAGAAGGTAACCGGGGGCGGGGGCGAGCGGGGCGCGGGCGGGCGCCCCCGAAGGACGCGGCCTCGGAGCTGGGACACCCGAGGCCGAGCACGTGTCGTTGGCTCCCCTGCCGCCCGGGGCGGTATCTGTTCGTGCCCCCCGCTCCCCTGGTATTTTTGTCTTCATTCCGGGACCGGTGACCACACAGCGGGAGGGCGGGCCACTGTGAATGGCGCACAGGCCTTTGGCGGGAAGGGGGCGTTTAAAAGCTCCCGAGGACGGGGCCTGGCCTGGGAGGGGGCTGCTTAGGCTCCGCGGGTTTCCGTGCCGAGGAGGAGAGAGATCGGGGCTTCCCGTTAACCTGGATCTCGCCCGCGTGGAGCACCGGTGTGATCGCAGGTCCCCCGTCCTTGCCAGGTGCGCTGCTTCCCCCCGGGCCTGTGATCGGGCCCCGCCGGCTGCTGCACCCCCGCCCCCCAGGTGCTCTGGAGCTGAACCGGGCTCCCCAAGGGCGGAGCGGGTCCCCCAGCTCATCAGCCACCGCACACGCATCGCCGGAAGTCACTGCCTGGGCTCCTTACTGTCCACTGGGTGTCAGTGGGCCCGACATGCACACAGTGAGGACCCGCAGGGCAGCCTAGTTGCTCCGAGTCTGTAGTTTTAGGATCGTCTGACCAGCTTGGACGTCTTGCTCACTTTTTCAAAGTTCTTGTTTCTCTGGGGACTTTTCCACCTATATTTGGCCAAGACAGCCGATCACCAAAAGGTTAATAGGAACAAAGGTTGGATAAAATTTCTCCATATTTAATAACAGATTTTGTCAATTTATACAACTCTTGGTGCCTTTTGTTTTTAATGTATATTATTTGGGATAGGTTTACTGTAACAAAATGTACCCTTGTTTGAAACTTCCATATTTAATATATGGAATTCTGCATTGTTTTGCGAGAACACTGGGCTCTTGAATGGAGCGTTAATCCCTTCTGTATCGGATTGTTCACTTTGATAGAACCGCTGTCATGTAATGGTCATCAGGGTGTTTTAATACATTGAGACTTGATAAAAGAATTCAATGGAAGAAAAAAATTAGTGACCTATTTAATTGGTCCAGCATTAACAAAATACTGTAAGTCAGTCCTGTAAGTTGTTCATGAAACACTCGTACCTATCAAAGCTCATCAAAAAGTATAATAAAACTAATATAAGCTATGTCTGAATTGGCAGCCCAGGGTAATATCAGAAAAGCCTGCACTTAAAAAAAATTTTTTTTCAATTATTTCTACCACAATCCAGAGATTGGTTTTTAGAGTTGGCTAAGATAAAAATGAGAACGGGCCCTGGCCGGTTTGGCTCAGTGCGAAGAGCACTGGCCTGCAGACCAGAGAGGTCAGTTCTGGTCAAGGGCATGTACCTCCCCAGCCCAGGCCCGGATCGGAGTGGGGCAGGAGGCAACCAATGTTTCTGTCTCCCTCTTCCACTCTAAAAGATCAATGGGAGCCGAAACCGGTTTGGCTCAGTGGATAGAGCGTCGGCCTGCGGACTGAGGGGTCCCAGGTTCGATTCCGGTCAAGGGCATGTACCTGGGTTGCGGGCACATCCCCATTGGGAGATGTGCAGGAGGCGGCTGTCGATGTTTCCCTCCCATCGATGTTTCTAACTCTCTCTCCCCCTTCCTCTCTGTAAAAAATCAATAAAATATATTTTTAAAAGATCAATGGGAAAATATCTTGGGGTGAGGATTAAAAAAGAGAGGTAACAAGCTAGCATACCTGATAGAACTAGCCCTTAACTTTTCTTCTGCTCTCATTCTTTGCTTGATAAGTTTTAAAATATGAAATTTGGGCTGTGGCTGCTATGGCTCAGTTGGTTAGCCAGTTCATCCTTTGTAACAAGAGGAAAACAATACTGGCAATGGGTCATGAGCTGGCTTAATTTTATCTGGTATTCTGGCTTAGAAATCTTGAACTTCCCTTGGTTCAATCAAGGTGAGCTGGTAATGTTGCTTTTCTAAATCTAAGAATATGCCTACAAAATACTATTAGAAAAATTACTTAGTTTAAAGGCTTAAATTCATTAATGACAAGTTAAACAGAAGACTAATTAGGGAATAGTGAAATGTTAATTTAAATTTCTGAGGATCTTACAATTCATACGCTGAAGACTAGTTCTTGCTTCTGGAAACTAACAATATTCTGAACCAGCAATTTTCAATCTTTTTTTTTTCATCTATGGCACACATTACTAAAATTGTGGCACTCCAAAAATGCAATTTTTGCTGACAAGAAAAAATTGGGTATAATTGTGATTCATTCACACCAGATGGCTATTGTTTGCTGTTGTCATTTTAAAATTGGACACTCTAATGGAAAAGAGATCAGTGCCCCTGACTAGTCAGATATGGGCATGTTTTTTTGTGGGGGTTTTTTTCAACTATATTTTTATTGATTTCCGAGGAGGGAGATAGAAACATCAATGATGAGAATCACCAATTGGCTGCCTCCCACACCCCCCCCAACTGGGGGCTGAGCCCACAACCTGGGCCCATGCCCTTGATCAGAATCAAACCCGGAGGCAGCCAATCAATGACTCTCATCTTAAATTTTGGTCATTCTTTCCCAGTTTTCAGAAGAGTTGCAGATACACAATTATGTATTTTAGGCCTAGTACTCCCTGAACGGGTGACCTTTGGAAAGCGACTACTCTGTGGCCCATGTTTTTTCCCCTCTATAACAGACCCAAAAGGTTAAAGGATGCCATGGAAACGACGGGCTCTTTGGGGAGCAGGGGGGGAATAGTTCCAGGCGACTTCCATCCTGCCAGCACCTGACAGCTCTCTGTGTAAAGACCCGGGGCCAGTTCAGAGGTCGTGAGAACTACATATAAGGGCTGTCAAGGGCAGGGACTGGTAACCCCCCACCAGCTCTATACTGGAACTGTTCTGGGCCTGCGTTGATTTCTCAGCCTTGGCAGTACTGGCATCACAACAGGTTAAGTTGGAGGTGGGGCCGATGTGTTGTAGAATGTTCAGCAGTAGAATCCTGGGCCTCTAGCCACATGCTGGTTCTAGAAGGGACCATTTTAAACAGGGCATGTAATTTCTGAAAGATGTTTGTCTTTAAAGAGACCTGAAATCTTCTAAACATTCTAATGGCCCATCCCAGATCTGAATTTTGAAAATACCTTTTAAAAAATCTGGATAGTTACCTAGCTGGCTTAAATAACACAATTTGATATTTGGCAAGTATACTTCATATACTTGTAAAGGATTGGGATGGATGGCGTTTTTCCAGGTGCCCCAAGAAATGTTTGTTAGCAGATTCCGGTCTACCCCTGGGTGGTGAGGGGGTGTCACCCCATGGCTCCATTATAAAAGGGGACCCAAACTGAAGAAGCCCAGAGGCCTTACAGAAACTTGTGTGATCTTCGGTGGTGGTGTGTCCTGCTTGTCCTGCTGTGTGGACAACCTATGATGGCTCCTTTCCTTCTTGGCCCAAACACGAAAGCCTCACCTTCTACCTGTGTTAGGGCCTAGGACCCATTGGAGCTGACACTACCGACCACCCTCTGGAGCCCTAGTATCTCAAGCACCCTTCCCCTGGGGAGAGGCTGGGCTGGAGGCGGCGTGCAGAGCCCAACACTCCCTACCTGCAGAGCAACTCGCACCCTCACCTCCAACCACGTTTCACTGGGCTTTTGAGCTGACAGAGGAACTGAATTTTTTTAAGTGAAATGAAAAACCGAGACGCACAATTCAAGTATGTCTATGAAGATTTGTATTAAAGAACTTTCAAAATTAAAGTGCAATATTAATGAATACCTGCTGTGTGCATGAAGTAACCTGTGTTAGGGGGAAGGGTTAGCAGGGAGAGACCAAAGAAAAAATGGAATAGAATGATCCCAGAGGGTATATAATTTTTGCTTTATTAGGAACCAGGTCACACATTTTGTCTTTCCTGGCAGAAGCTTGAGCCAAAGCAGCAAACAGGAGAAAAATACAACCAAGAATGTTATTTCAACCTTTAACTGGACTTCCCCACTTCTTGCATTCCCTCGTCCTGGAGGAACCCTCCGCCCCTTTTGGCCTCCCGCTATACATTATACTGTATTTTAATGGACAAACAGCTCTCTTTTAAAAGCTACATTACTGAAAACCTGCAGAAGTTTTCTACTTTTTTATTGAATAGAAACGCCACAATGAAATAGACGTGACTTTTTCTTGCGTATTTTGTCCTGCCCTCCACTGGGGCCACAAGATATATATAATTAAGCGCAATTTCCTATCAGGCAAGGAAACAGATCAGGAGTTATAATGCCCAATGTTTATCTTTACATTAAATATTTATTCTTGTGAACAACTGATGTTCACCTCATTAGAATTGTACCAATCCCACTTATGCTTCCCAAATTTCATAGATGTTTAAAGAGCTCATAAAATGTGCTCTTATTTCCAAACTGTTCAATTAGCAAATTATTATCCAACATCAAAATTCAATTGATTTAGGTATGTTATTCTAGAGGCTTTCTCGTTAATTAAATTTTCAAGGTTTCCCACTTTAAGATTCAGCTTCTTCAGACTGAATACCAAAAGCAGGATGTTGAAAGTAAATGGATCGATTCCTGGTCATGTTCTTTGCCAAACCACTGTGATCTACAGTATTTCCTTGTTCAATCTAGGTTCTTTTTTATTTTATCTTAGCCCTTTAAGCTCCTAGGAATTTTAGATGTGGAGAACATTCCCTGTGCACGGGACTCAGTATTATATGGTTCCTTAGGATCTGTTGTGGCTGGCCTTGGACATTTTTTGTTAACTAGTGAGTATCTACTTTTCTCTAAATAAACAACACACATCTATGTGTGGCAAACAAT